AAGTAAAGAAATCTGCCCTGGGTTTCACTCAGGGCAGAAGAAGGTACTGGCCATGGCAGAAGAGCTTGCACTGGCCGTGGCCGTAGTATCATCTGTGGTGCTAACCCTGGCCTGGGCTCTCTGTTCCTCCTCTCTCAAAGCCTCCTGATACCAGCGTGTGAAGGATCTGGGGTCACTCCCATTGACCTGGGCCAAAAACTCCAGGACTTTCAACTTGGTGGTCTCAGCGTGGGCCCTGGGACCCCACAGGAACTCGTACCGTGCAGGATTGCTGTTGGGCACCTGCCGGTACTCCAGGTACTGTTCCTGCACCCAAACTCTGGTGAGGAGCTCCCTGGGCTCCCCATAGATGCTATGCTCCATCCCAGCATGCACCCCCATGGCATTCAGTGCTTCCCATATCTTCTCTTCGGGGACACAATCATCCTCGGAGAAGATTATAGTAAGGATGAGTATCAGAAGGCCAGTCTTGGGCATACTGTGCTCATCGCTCACCATCCCATCATAGGTGAGGCCCAGGTTGGGGACTAGGACATAGGTGTGGCTGGTGGGGTCCACTTCCTTCACATCAATGCCATAAACCAGCTGCATGCACTCAGAGGCCTCCCTAAAGATTACAGCAAAGTGGTCCTGGTACTCTCTGATGATGCTACTCAGCATTTCTGCCCTCGTGGTCACCTCCTTTGTGCGATACTTCAGGAGCAGGAACCAGATCAGCTACGTTATCATTAATCACGTATCTGGGCAAGGACTCTGGGCCTGGCAGGGCCCAGGAGGTACTCGGACCCTCCCCTTCTTCGCTGCTGGATTGGCTCAAGGGAGCAGCAGCGGCAGCAGCAGTAGGGGAGGCATGGGCACTTGGAGAGTTCCGGGTAGGACTCGATGCCCCAGCAGCAGCAGGAACCTCCTCCTCCACCTCCTCTTCCTCCTCCTCCCCCTCCTCCCTTTCCTCTTCCTGCTCCTCCTCCTCCACCTACTCCTAGTCCTTTTCCTCCTCCTCCTCCTCCTGCTCCTCCTCATCCTTTTCCTCCTCCTCCTCCTCCTCATTCCTCTCCTCCTCCCCATTTTCCTCCTCCTCCTCTGAGGTGCTTGGGGTACTTGAAAGCAGAGGATAGCAAGAGGAAGAGGTGGAGGAGGAGGAGGAAGAATCCTCTTCCACAGCCTTGGGAATCGCAAGCGAGTAGCATCGACACTTTGGAACTCGAGGCATGATGACTCGTGTCAGGCAGCCACAGGAGTGCAGGCAGGCGGTGCGCAATGAGGACTCACTGGCCTGGGGGAGAGAGGAAGGGTAAGTGGCCTCAGCTGAGTACACCCTTGGCAGCTGTGAGAAAGTGGGACTACAGGTCTCCTCTTTAGGGGTGCTCTTGGGCCTCACTGGGGTCTCTCCTCCTGGGGTGCCTGTCCGTGAATGAGGAAGTCAGATGGTTCTTTGGGGTACACTCGGCAATAGGCCAGGGTTCTGTGGTTGGCAGTGGGGTGGGGTTGGGTACTGAGGGAGTTCTCATCTATTCTGGCATGGGGGAGACCCTAGGGACACATTGTAGGTCAGGGCAGGCACCTCACCTTGACTGCTGGCACTGCCTGGACCTCCTCTGCTCTGTGACCTGTGTTTTGTGCCTCAGACCAGGGCCTTTATCTCCTGCCTCCTGGAGCACCTGGCTCTAAGTTGGACAGCCCTGCCTGGTGTGTCAGAGCTGAAAGTGGAAGTGGGGTACCTGTCCGTGAGGCCCACATTTGTTCTGGAGGACAATTCCCCCTCCTTCCTCCCACATGGTCAATAGCTTGGCCACTTGCAGTGCCCGAGTGTCCTGGCTCTGCTCTCCATACGCCTCACCCTTTGTGTAAGGCCCCACCTCTTTCATCTTCCTGAGAGCAAAGGGAGCTGGGAGAAGCCATGGGAAAGCCATTCCAGAAATCCCAGGGCTGAGAGCAGGTGCGGGCTTCTGTGGGGTTCCCACTGTGGCGGGATCCAAGGTTCCCTCAGCTCTCCCTTAGGATCCTCCCTTGACTCTGGCAGGTGCTGGCCCCACCCTCTGCTGATGTGAGGTCCTGCTCTTTATACCCAAGCCCCAGACTGTCAGACCCAGATGCACCAATGAGGAAATGCCCCCTAGGATCATCCTCCACGAGGCCTGGTGGATGGACTGTGGAGGGCCCTGGGCCCACCCTCTGCCGTTCTCAAGTATTGTTCCCGGTACCGACCCGGTTGTGCAAGTCAGCGTACGCTGTGTGTGGTCATCCTCCAGCGGGATCCCAGCACTGACTCTGGTTTGGTTTCCAAGGTCCCTTCCTCCACCCTCAGGGTCCTCACCTTGGCTCTGGCAGGTCCCTGGCCCACCATCTGCCGAGATGGGGTCCTCCTCCCTGTACGGAAGCCCCAGAGTCTCTGAGAGCAGGACTGACTCTGGTCTAGCTTCCAGGGTCCCTGGCCCACCATCTGCCGAGATGGAGTCCTCCTCCCTGTACTGAACCCCAGAGTCTCTGAGAGCAGGACTGACTCTGGTCTAGCTTCCAGGGTCCCTGGCCCACCATCTGCCGAGATGGAGTCCTCCTCCCTGTACTGAACCCCAGAGTCTCTGAGAGCAGGACTGACTCTGGTCTAGCTTCCAGGGTCCCTGGCCCACCATCTGCCGAGATGGAGTCCTCCTCCCTGTACTGAACCCCAGAGTCTCTGAGAGCAGGACTGACTCTGGTCTAGCTTCCAGGGTCCCTGGCCCACCATCTGCCGAGATGGAGTCCTCCTCCCTGTACTGAACCCCAGAGTCTCTGAGAGCAGGACTGACTCTGGTCTAGCTTCCAGGGTCCCTGGCCCACCATCTGCCGAGATGGAGTCCTCCTCCCTGTACTGAACCCCAGAGTCTCTGAGAGCAGGACTGACTCTGGTCTAGCTTCCAGGGTCCCTGGCCCACCATCTGCCGAGATGGAGTCCTCCTCCCTGTACTGAACCCCAGAGTCTCTGAGAGCAGGACTGACTCTGGTCTAGCTTCCAGGGTCCCTGGCCCACCATCTGCTGAGATGGGGTGCTACTCCCTGTGCTGAACCCCAGAGTCTCTGAGACCGGGACTGGAAGCATAAGGGAGGAAGGGGGTGTGGTCATCCTCACACGTGGCCCCCATCTGCTCTGGCAGGCGCTGGCCCCGCCCTGTGCTGACGGGGGTCCTCATCCTCACAGCCACCCCCAGAGACTCTCAGACCCGCCTGCGGAGGTCAGGTAATGTCCCGCGTGTCCCCCTCCCGAGTCCTGCGGGCTGGCTCTGTGGAGGTCTGGGGTCCGCCCATCCCCTACTGCTAGCTGACCGGGACTCTAGGAAGCTGCTCTGCCCTCCATGCGGAGGAGGGGTCCAGCTCCTTACCACGGCCCCGTCCCAGCAACTGCTGGGCAGTCGGGACACCCCGCATGGCCACCCGCCACGGGACCCCTCGCGGAGGACAGCAGAGGCTGTGTGTGGTCATCCTCCAGCGGGATCCCAGCACTGACCTGTGCGGCTTCCCGCTCGGTGCGGTGGGACCCGGGTGCTCACCGGGACTCCCACAGTGCCT